AAACAAGAACAGAGCCAAGACCCAGAAAACACGAAGCTCTGTTTTGTGAGTTTTGTTTGGGAGAATGGGATGGGACAAGACACGGAGGCTGAGCAAGGCATCACCAACGATCTCAACAGTAGACTCAATGTGCTTTTTGTAGCCCTGGACTGCTGGTGCCTGGCCACTGGCCATACTGCTGAGTTAAAATCTAGACGTCCACAGTTGATATGAAGATGAAAGCTACACTGGTGCTTTTAAATTTAAATAAAGCTTCAAATTTATCATGATTTAAAATGCCTTTCCATACAGAAAATCCTGAAAAGGCAAATATTACATTAATTATTTTAAAATGATAGACAACCCTTTTTGACTTGTCGCAAACTTTATGACAAGTTACCCTTAAGTTTGCTATTCGTTGAAGGGAAGATCAAGTGCAGGTTTTGACTGTGGACATTATCTTCTCATTAGGTAGCTTTCCAAATACTGTCCTTTGAGTACTCGATGTGGGCTCAATCGGATAGGTGTTGTTAAGGAAGAATGAAGGTAGAGGAGAGGGGTGGGACATATGTCTAGAAATTACCTTAAAAACATTATCTTAGATGCAACTTAAGGTAATAAATTTGCATTTCTTGACCATAAAGCGGTTAAAAAATACATTCATTTGTTGTTCCCTCAAATTATTACTTGGTGAATCACTAAGCCAAAACACAGATGTATAAATTCTCAGTAGAAGAGTTCAAGAGGCCAGAATGGTGATTTCATTTAAACCCTTCATAAACAAAGCAGAGAAATGACTTGCCCAAGGTTACATTTTACCTTGTGGTTTACAGATTGCATTCACTTCTCAGCTTAGGGGGACCTTCATTCGTTTTTAATATGGCACATGGTTGCACTGTACACCTTGAGCTTATAGTCTGGTCTTAAACCAATTATCCAGTTGGCTCAAAATAATTATAATGGTGATAAGCCAATGGAGGGAGGGCTGATTTTGCCTCTTGCTAGTGTAAGCTTTTCAGGAGCTGATTTCTATGATTGTAAGCCACCCTACACCCCAGATCCTCTTCCTTGACAGTCTAAAATTCCAACAGCAGGTGAGCAAATTGTGAAAATGATAAATGCAAATGTCAACCAACAGGTTGCAACTAAGGGCTAAAAACAGGGAAATTTAGGCAACCGTATGGCCTGTGGATATCCGTGCATGGTGCAGTGCATGTCCCTTGGTAGCATGGGTGCTTCCTACCCCCTACTCACAGGAGAAAGAGAATAGTACCAGTCAAAGCGTGGATACTTAGAATTTTTGAAAACTTCATTAGCAGACTGACTTAGACCCCACAGTGGGTCTAAGGAAATTTCTTCTTAAAGATGAAGTTGTAGAGTGTGAAAAAAAAAGTTCAGTTAAGTAGAAAACCCTGCACCAAGACTTTATTTCTCTATTTGGTTCAGCCAGGCCTTGGGGTTTTCTATGTGTTTCAGCTTATTTGTCTTTATTTTAAGGTTAACAGTGTTCCTTCTGCTTAGTTTCCTTGAAGTATGGCAAAGATCAAATTGTATCTTTTAGGTCAAGTAAGAGGGAAAGTTGTATTGAGACACTAGATTGAAAGTTTCCTTGCAGTTTGAAGTTTTGTTTCATTATAATAGCATTTGCTTTATGACTGACAAAGTTATGTTTCTGTTAAATTATTATTTGTTTATTAAAAAATGAGGTATTCTATATTTATGTCCAACAATTTATAGGGATTTTGATCACAAAATTGGATGATTTTTATTCCTCAAGAATTCTGCCTTCTGAGTCAGTGAAGTTTTATTTTAACAAATGTTTTTTTTCAGTTTAGGGTTCCATATAATGATCATATTCTCTAGTGTGAAAAAGTGTGGAAAAAGGTGGCTGACCTTGAGAAGTATATAGTTGCTGTGCTGGAGTTCTTTCAGAGTTGAAATGGAATAATAAAATCAGAAGTCATGGAACAGTTTCTAATTTCAAAGAAGGTTGTCTGACTTTACCTAAATAGTTAAGGTGGAAACCAAGGAAGAACACGGAAGAAGGAAATTGAGTTCCCCTTCAGGTGATATACAACTACAACAACCTCCATTCATCCATCTGGGATAACAACATGAGTCTCACTTTAGGGTCTAACAAGCTGTTTCTCACCTAGAGATGTTCTTCTGTATTTTTATTCTTATCTGAAAAAGTTCTCATTAAACCTCTAATACTCCCTTACACACAGGAGAAGATTAAAAACTACACCCCCCATTTATTCTTGGTTCTCTATCTTTCTGAACTAGAGCCTACAGTTTAACTTAAGGTAAAAGAATTCTGGGGGCACCTGGGTGGCTCAGTCAGTTAAGTGTCTGCCTTTGGCACAGGTCATGATCCCGGGGTCCTGGGATCGAGCCCTGCATTGGGCTTTCTGCCCTGCAGGGTGCCTACTTCTTCCCTGCCCTCTGCAGCTTCCCCTGCTTGTGCTCTCTGTCAAATAAATAAAATCTTAAAAAAAAAAAAATCCAAAGAATTCTGATATACACTCAGTTCTTTGGCTCTTTTTGAGCATGCCTTCTCTTGAAACCATTAAGAGGACTTGCCAGATCTAGACTCACCAGTATTTTGGGTTCTCTGTTACATGTTTCGCACCCCCAGAGGAAGGAAACTTACATGGATTAAGGGCTTCCACCGTGCCTGGCACGGCCACGTTTGTCACCAATCACCTCTCAACCACCTCATTCAATGGATGGTTGTTCATTCTCCATGTGGTATTTCTTACAGCCTGGCTGGACCTTCTGTTGGCTAGGAGGCAGTCCTGGAGTGGCTCACATGAACCGTGCTCCAATCTTCCTGCTTCTGCTAGTTGGAAGTTCTGAGCTGTGTGTGTGTTTTAGGTTGCGTAATACTAAACACAAGTAGTGAAACTGAGAATATTTGTTGTTAGAGGTTAAATGGCTTTATTCATTCAATGGCTGGGGAAAACAGTTGAAAACATGAATGTCTGTTGTGACCACAGATAGGCATGCTTTGTCTCCAAATGTGATAAAATAACAAAGGGCATTTTAGGTTGATCTATCTTGCCCTCACAGAGAAATCATTGCCGGGGGTGGTGGTTCCTGTTTACCTGATTAAATGAGGGAGGCTCGCAATTTTATAATAATTGTGTCCATTTTTAGGAGCTTGGAATGTCTTTCTTTTGCTAATTTCGTTTTTGCTAAGTGACTCTTCAAAATGTGGTACTTAGGGAGGATAAGTATTAAATATTCAAGGTCTCTTAATTTAGCAAAGACGGTCAAGCCCTTTACATCCCCATGAGAAATGGGAATCTTGAGAATCTTGATCAGATGAGCAAGTGACAATGGTCCTCTGAGTTCAGATCTAGATTAGTTCTTATTTGCATGATGTTGGGCAAGGAATTTAAGTAGGCTGAGCCTCAGTTTCCCAAACTGTAAAATGTGGGTTACAACATTTTGAGGCTTAAAGAGTGATGGTGGTAAAAGACCCAGAAGAGTTCTTGTGCCCAGAGAAGGCAGAGAATGTTAGTTAGAAGCATCTTCAGTAGTTACATTTTCAGTAGTTAGTGAGTTCCCAGTAATAGAAGTATAGGATTTGGAATCAGGGTTAGTAAAATCAAGTCACCCAAATGTAAATGAATTTCTTCTTTGTGCTCCATGGGCATCGAGAGCTTGGGCAGAGCTGTGGAGTACAGCCTTACCTCCTCCCACTCTCTATTCCCCCTGGGGCCCTCCTCTGCTCCAGAGGCACAAGTCAGCTCCTCCAGGTGACCTGTGTTTGCTTTCTGTGGCTCTGGCTGTCCCCCTCCCAGTGGCCCGGCCTCTTACTGGAAGAAGTGATGAAACGAAGATGTAGCAAAGGGCACCACATGCCCGAAGATGGAGCAATGTGAGGACATTTTACTCCTCATCCCTGCCAGGCCTTGCTTGCTGCCTTCTCTGACAGCTAAACATCCTTGTCAGGAGAGCAGAAGTTACAAGCATTTTTTTGGTCATTAGAATGCTACCAGTTATGTGTATCCACCTAAATAATAAGAGTCCTTGAATAAAATGTGGCAATGATTATAATGCTTCTTGTTAATGACTGACCAAGGAACAGGTGGGCTCTAGCCGTATACATCTTTCCTAGCTGGGTTTCCACACATACTCTGCTTTTTGCTCTGACTGAAGCCAGTTGTTTGTAGTTTTTCCATTTAGCTGAGCCTCAGGAAGGGTGGTCAGTAGAACAAGGGAAAAGAAAATAGTTTGCAGCAAAAGCCGTTCTTTTCTTCAAATGTGAACCTCTTTTCATCTTCCCTTAAACCATGTATTAGAGGGTTTTACCAGAAAAAGGGAGAATAGACTATGCCCTGCTGTTGCTAGGTAACCAAAAAAAAAACAACAACAACAACAACCTAGCCATAGTTGATACTGGAACAGTTTTCCCTAGGAACCTGGCTACTCCTGCTAAGTGATTTGCATAGTCTTAACAGATTTGCATAATGGTGAAGCTGGAGGGTCTCCATCCTTCAGCTCCATTCTCCCTGCCCCTTGCCCACATCAATACAATCCCGGCTATATTATTTGGTCTTGAGGTCAATCTTGACTTTGAGATATTCTGAGGGAAGGTGCTGTGCAGATGCATATAGTTCACTGCACATAGCTAGAGTATATACTCTATTTCTAAGACCTTGAACCGGTTTCTAAAAATAAGTGGGCACCCTTTTTCAGCAGGAGCAATGTTTTACCTGCCCACAAATGGTGACAGGTCTTTATTCATTTGACACCTCACTGGGATTATTTTGTAAAGGTTATTTTTAGCCATAGGAGACATTTGTACACACTGCCAAACGCATCTTAATGATATATTGATTAAATTCTTTGATTTAATTACATTTGTTCCTTTCTCATTGGACTCCATGATTCTCTCTGTGGCTGACTATATGGGCCCTGCATTTCCCAGGTTTTTAGAGAGCTATGAGTCATAGAATCCCCTGCTCTGCAGGCCTCAAGCTGATTCTCCTGACCTGTGCTGTCTTTTGCAGATTTGGACATCTCTCAGACTGAGTTCCCAACCCCCCATGACTCCAATCCACATGGCTCTCAGCTGCAGACATTTATGGCAGAAGCAAAGCTAAATCTACAGACATTGACCAGACAAGACGGGGAAACTGGAGATGGAGCTGAAGAAAATATTGTTTACCTCTAATTGTGTTATCATAATTTTTCCAGACAAAACAAAACACTGGCATTTTGTGGAGAATTTTGTTTTCTTTTCCTGATGTTCGTGTGACTGTGTCCAAATTGCTTTAAGAGTAATATTTAATATTTCATGCAAGTTCATTTTTTGGGCATGAGTCCAATTAAATTATTGAAAGCAGTTCTGTTTGTCTAATCGTTAACTTATCACACCTAATTTCAGATTTTTGGAGAAATTCACTTGAATAAGCAGAAATATTTTCAAAGTTGTTATGACTCTAGAGTAAAATTCCATATTGCATTTTCTACTGGATCATCTGGTTTTGGAAATGCATTTTTTAAGATCTAGAAGCAGCAATCTGGATGGAAAGAGTGATATTCTTGATGGGCAAACTTTCCCAACCACAGCAGCAGATTAGGGAGAGTGGCCTCAGGACCCCAAAAAGCAGAGGAAGATGTGGGAAAGGCCTTTCCTTGGCTCGCTTTTACATGCTAGTTTCTGTTTCGGAAGTCTCAGGGCTCACTCCTGGTGGTGATCTGTTATGGTCACCATGCAACCAACATGTCCTGTCTGGGCACCTGTTCCAACTGGGCAACAAGTCTGCTACGGACACAGTCTGGACTCTTAGGACCTGGGCCACAGGCTTTGCAGACTCAATTTCTTGGTCCTAATGCTGGTTGGTTTTCAAACCACAGTTGAGCGTCATCCTTCACCACAGCCCAGAGGCAGAGCCCCAGCCAGTCCATTTTGATGTAAATAGTGAGGCTTCATTAGTGCCCGGTCTCTCAGCTGGCCCTGTCTCCACAGGACCTGGGAGCAAGAATAACTACCACTCACGAGGAGGACCTCTGCCTTGCAGTTCTTTAAGGACAAAAACCACCGTCTGGGTGAAGCTTGCTGACTGTGTGTCCTTTCTCACAAGGGAAAAGTGGCACATCCTGCCTTCAGAGTAATATGGGTCTCTCTGTAAGAAAATAAACCAGGAAATGTTTTCACGTTGTTCTCCAGGAATAATTGTATAAGTTTTGCTCTGAGTCAAAAAATATCTTTCGCCTCACTATTTTGAAATTTGAACGTTGTGTAAGACCATAGTAAAGTAGACATTTCACACACAAACCCTATCTCCCGCTACTAAAAGCGAAAACCAAAGAGTACTAAATTCACCCAGAACTGCGACACTTACCAGGAGGGGGCCGCGATAGGAAGGGAAGAAATTTCACCCAGATTCCATTACTTGGCCAGTTGAATACCTACTTTCTATTTTCCGTAGGCAAGTCAAGTCATAGTTTTAAAAAGAGCCTTTGTTGGGGGTACTCTTCCTGACTCTGGCTGCTTCTGGCCATTCTGGTCACAATCATAAGAACAAGTTATGAGACTAATCTTCAAGAATGGATATAGCTTATTAAAATTTTAAGTCGATCCCCTCACCTTCAAGCCGAACTCCGAAATTATGAGATGCATCTTCCATTCCTAAAGGCATCTAAAGAGAAAAGCCTGTCTTCCCCCGCTCTCTCCAACAAAGCCTCGTCCAGAATCCTGTATCCCTTGAATAAGGAACATGCTGATATTTCAGTCTAAATCCTTGCTCTGATAACTATAAATATCCTCCCTCTTCCCCTGACATTGGATATGGAAATATCCGTATGTGAAAATATAAATAGATGTTCAGAAGCCCCACACAGTTCTTTAAAAATACATGTGCTCAGTTGATTTTCAAGCCTTGCAAACTTTGGGTCTTCATGTAGCTACCCTGGGGAAGCCTGAGCGTCTTGTGAGATATCTACAGTCTCTAGGTTCCTCTTGGTAATTGTCTTATTTAAGATTATGGCTTGTCCCCTGAAGCTAAGTTGAAAAGCTTTCTTGATAACTTCTTCCTTTTCACTTGGTCCTCACTATGCACTGGGCTCAGGTCTCAACAGGGGTCACTCTGTGGCTCCGACAGCAATTCACCAATCCTAGGAGAAGACCACCCTATTTCTCCAGCATAAATAAGTTTCCTCTAAAGGATCTACTTTTCCCACCAACTGAAGAGCTTCGAGGAAACATTCCTCCCTTCAGAGATGGGTCGTGGAAAGACCAGCAATGCTTTTGCCCTGTCCTTTGCAGGCTGCAGGAATTTATGTGCCGCCTCCCTTCGAGCCCAGGCTACCCTGCACTCCCTCAGGACTGCCTCATTGCGGGAGCCCTGCACCACGCCCCAGCCCGCTCACGACTCGAGCCCTGTTCATTCAGAGAAGGGCGAGAACACTTGCTGCAGAAGCGGTCGCGGTCGTGGTGTATGTACGCTATGATGGCGCGTAGAGTTAGGCAAGGCGGAAAAGGTGAGTATGACTAAATCCTGGGATGACAGATAAAGGAGTAAAAAGGGGTGTGTATTCCTTCCTGTGACCTCGGACCACCTTTCAAACTCAGAAGCAACCTGAGGTTCTCAGTGTTCAGCCATCTCTGTCTTTCTCAGCGAGAGGCACAGCGGCAGAGTGCGTGGAGTTTGGAGCCTGATCTTCCACTTGCCGTGTGTCCTTGGTGTGTCGCTTCACCTCTCCAGGTCTCTGTGTCCTCACCTACAGAGGAGGGATGATTACCTTACAGAACTGTGAGACGTGAATGATTAATATATGCAACGCGCTTAAAACAGAGCCCGGGGCCTAGCTGTCAATATGTGCTAGCTGTTATTAAATCATTAAATAATCTTTCAAAATAATTGCTAAGCCGGGTGCCAGTCCTCTGGCAGATCGTGCCGTGTCTGCACGGCCAAAAACCGTGAAGAGAGAAGTCGAATGCCTGGCGCTGGCTAATTACAAGGCTGGACTAAGGTTTCCTAAGGTCAGCTTTCGACTTACTTGCGTCTCGAAACCTTCACTCAGCTCGTTTATTCGGTAGCCGGTGGACTGCCTGCTGAAGGCCAAACAATCTGCTGGGAGCAAAATAAAGAAGAATTAGCCTTCAAGTTGTTGGAGAAGCAAACCCAAGAACAGAGAAGGAGAAGTATATAGGTTGCTATGGGAGCTCGTAGGAAAAGCATGTTGGGGGCAAGGAAAATGTGGAATGGAGCGAGTTGTTTGAGTGGAAGATGCCTGAGGCTTGAAGGATAGGTAGCAAGTCAGAGAGGGGGGAAAAGATAGTGTGAGCAAGGAGGGCAACCCAAGCAAAAGTCCAGAGACACGAAATAAAAGCCGGGAGAGACACTGGAACACGCAGTTGGAGGTACTGCAGATCAAGTCCCCCCGGATCAAGGTGTCCAGGGAGAACCTCCATCTACCTTCCCCGCTTTCAAACACTCTTGTCCGAGTTGTGAGGAAACGTGGAAGTTTCTCTCTCTCACCTTGCTAACTGATGGGGTTCCAGGTTATGGAGGAATATGCCTCCTCGTCATCCGCTCACCCTTCCACTCCCACCTCTACCGTAGGAGCACCTGGGTTCTGCCCGAGTGGATGTCTGCCTACTGGATCCCAAGCCACAAGGAACCAAGAGTAAAGGGGACCATAGGACCGCCTGAAGATATTTATTGGGACCGAGGGGTCCCGAAGGATGCCTCAGGGTGCTTCTGTGGGATGAACTGGTGACGTGCATGAGTCAAATCAGAGTTAACTGGAGGGAAAGGGGGGAAAAGACTCTCTTGGCTCTTCTGCTTTATTTTCTTAACTCTCTTTGATTAAGGTGTTTTTCCCTGAGGTTTTATCTTGTTCTTTTATTTGGAACCTGTTCCTCTGTTTCCTCATTTTGCTGGACTCTCTGAGTTCATTTCTATGAATTAGATGAAACAGCCACCTCTCCCAGTCTGGAAGGTAGTTGAGGGTGTGCACAGACCTTTCAGTGTCCCCAAGGAGCATCTCAGCACCTAGATTCAGGCTGACTGGAGGCCAGACCCTCAGACAGCAGCTGTGAAAGTGTTCAGATATCCACAATCCTGTGGGACAAATGTAGTCCTGTTGGCCACTAGACCAGGTGATAGTTGGGAAAATCAGGGTGCGCGACCAGTGTCTAAGCTCCTTTCTGGAGGTACCTGCAAGCTGCAGGGAGGCAGAGGGAAATTGCCGAGGTGGCATCCCCTGGCCCAAATTCCCCACCAGCACCTCCGTAAGGCCCACCTGAAGCCTGGCCCTTGGGCCCGAGGGTCAAGCCAAGAGGCCCCTTTCTCGGAAAGCCTGCTGGGTTTCAGCCTGCGGGGTACGCAGTGCCTTGAACGGGGCAGCCGGCCAAGAGCTGTCTCTCTGTTACATGCCCGCGCGGCCCGGGAACGCAAGTGCCCTGGCCTCCAGAGCCCGGCGGTCAAGGGGTGTGCCCTGGGTGGCAGCTGTGAAACCCCGCGGGCACCGGGCTCGTGCAAAAGCTCCCCTCGGGGAGACACCGGTGCTGCGGGAGCAGGAGAGGGAGAGCCCGGGCGCGGCTCCCGCCAGCTGGGCGTGAAGGCTGCAGGCTCCGAGGAAAGACGAAATGGCCCCGGGCCTTGAGCCAGGTAGAGGCAGGGCGAACAAATGGCGCCGCCAGCACCCGCATCCTTGGAGAGGACCTCGCCCGGCCCGCGCCCCTCCCCAGGCCCGTGCTGGAAGATGAGCCAATGAATCTCAGAGGGAAAGGCCGCGGGCCTTCCAGGAGGTTCCTCCGCGCCGGGCCCTTTAAGAGCCGGCGCCAGCTGGCGCGCGGCAGCCCTTCTCCCCTGGGGGACCGGGCCCTGTAGGTTTTCAAAGCCAGGCGTCCGGGGGGGCTCATCTCTCAGGTGCAGGCCTCGAAAGTTGTGGCGACTGTTGTAGGGCACACACCCCTCCCTCCTCAGGGAGACCCTCCAGGCTTTGTTTTTCCCACCTGCGTGCTGCCGCGTGGGGAGTAGGGCTTTTGGCGAGACAGCGGCTCAGCCTCCCTCGCCTCGCCTGGGTCAGTGTGGCTCTCGTTTGCCACGTGAAGCGGCTGCTCAGCTAGTGTTCAGTTGTTGTGCAGAGGGAATCGTTGCCTATGTGGCCGTCGACTTGTGTCCGTGGGAAGAGGTACGTTCAGGATTTTCCTAGTTGCCATCTTGGAAGCCCCTCCTGTTTGATGATCAGCTGGCATGCCGCCACCCCTCACGCCACCTTAGTCTACCACTTAGGGCCTTGTGGAGAATGGAAAAGAAAAGTAGAGGGGGTACATGGAAGGAATATTCCAGAATGACACCAAGGGTTCACCATGTTCTTTCCTGACTGCGTCTCATGCATGGATGTCCCTCTGCCCAGTGTGAGAGAGGCAGTCAAAAGATATGACAAAGTCAAACAAGTTTGGGTTCTGCTTGCTGACACCCCCTCCCCGACCCAGGTCCACAGGGTTGCACAATGCCCGGGAGCACCATAGAGCCTCCATGCTCGTGGAATCCAATGTGAATGAAATCTCTTATTAGAGTTGTACAGTCCTGCAGCCTTGCTTCTGAGCTCAGTTTGCTTATCTGGGAAATGGGAGTAATAACAATAGTCCTGCCTTGCAGGCCTGTTGTGTGAAGCCGGTCCAGCAAATGGCACGGAGTAACCACTCTAAACGTGATAGCAGTTGTTACAGGCCGGTGATAGGGATCCAAAGGTGGTAAGTGTTGGCATGCGTGGGAACTAAAATAGCTGGGGAAGTATGATTTCACTTTTCCACAGCCCATTTTCCTTTGCCCTTAGAGATATCCAAGATCAAAGCCTGCTATGATGCTGCACTCAGAGTAAGAGCTTCATGATACTTACTGAATGAGGGGATGAGAGGGTGAACAAGAGTCTTTGGAAATCTAAGATCAAAGAGGCGACAGAACTTGATCTAGAACCCTGATCCCATCTCCATTCCATTTCTTTACTTCTTGCTTGTGAGTTCAAAGCAATCACTTGGAGGTGGTAATTGAATATCGTTTTGGGTGAAGTGTCTTGAAGGGGGACCATGGTTCACTAGTTTTGTAGAAGCTTCATGGATAAGAAACATTCACATTGCCATTAATTGAATCCTAGTTGTCTGCCTAAAAGTCAGAAGTTTTGGATACTGCCAGCAGCCG